GCGGTGTCTTAGCATTGGACCTGTGCCTCACCTGGACAACCTTCTTCTGAGGGTTTAGAGCTGTGCATTCCTCCAGCGCCTGTTACACGACCTCAGGTCACCTCCTTACTCCTGACCTTGCAGCTCCTGCTCAGAAACTCTTCGTGAACCCCCTTAAGGAAAATCCTGCTTAAACCAAAAATAAAGTCCAAAGTCTGTAACCTCTGTAGTTTGCTGACACTCACCTTGCTGACCTCTGCACTGTTTCCCAATGTTGATATCTGCTTCACTCAGACCCAGATGCCTTTTTCCTTATTCAGGCCTTTGTTTTTGTGATCATGTGTTCTCTGTGTCTTAACCCTCATCTGCCTTTAAGATTTTCCTCTGGTCTCTTCCTGATGTCTGCACTGCTGACCTTCCTCCAGCCCGCATCGTGAGTAGCTCTTACTGGACGTGGTACTTGATTTCGTGCTTTTTTGTATCATGTGTGACCCTGTGAGTAACAGGAGCGGCCTCCGATGTCTTGTGCTCATCTTGTACAGAGTGTCAGCTTCCCTTAGTAACTGTTAGGCCACTTTAATTCCTGAAGTTCACTGCAGCTCAGGTGACACTTGGACTACCCTGGCTTTAATGTTGGAAGTCCTGCACGCCAGGAACCCCCAGTCCCAGGCTGTCTGGGATGGTCACTCACTGAATGTAAAGCCACAGACTGAGCTATGCCTTGGGCCTCTGCACATTCCGTAGGTTAATTAGCTACTGTGTACAGTGAGGCTTTGTCTTAAACTATTGTTCAAGCTAAAATTTATGGGAAAAATTATTTTAATTCATCAAACATGTATTGACTTTCTACATGTGTAAGGTATTATGAAAGATAATGTGACATAATTTTTGGTTCTCAGGGAGTTAAAAACTTCCCTAGCTATACCATTTAGAGACTTATTAATTTTAATTATATTTCCTTTCTTATTTATCTTTACAGATGAAAGGGTCTTGAGAAAACAAACTTTGATGATTTGTCAATTCCTTCCCAGATTGTAGTAGAACGTCTTGGCCCATCATCTTCTAGTTTAGACAGTTTTTTCTCTGGTGCTTTTTGCATACCCTGCCCTGAAGCTCGCTTCCTGCTTTTTCTTTCGTGCGGCTCCTGTCGCTTCCTGCCCGCGGTGTGCTGGCAAGTGCCTGGTGCTGAGGGTCCTCCCACATGGCTGGCAGCACACCACCCTCCTGCCGAAAAAGCCCAGGAGGACAGAGTCTCTGGGAGCTTTGACGCTTCAGTTCTAAGTTTCCTCCTCAAGGTCACTAATTTAAATTGTAGCAAGAACCGTCTGGTCGCTCTTCTATTTCTGCATCTGTCCCCTCAGGGAAGAGGCACTCTGAATCTCCTGTTTCTCTCCCGCCTGTGAGCTGGTTTCCTTGCCCACACAACCGCAGTTCGTGCCTGGCAGTAGCTGAGGACAGTTCCTACCCAGGGTTTCCGATTTTTTTATAAAGTGTGAGCAGAGAGCCATGCTGCATGATCCATGTATTTTAGAGAGTGGTTCCATGTGAACAAAATTTAGTGTCATCAACTAAAACTCAAGCCAGGTTAACTTGGTGCTTATTTTATTACATGCTTATGATAAGAAGAAGTCCCAGTTCAGCATCTCCCCAGAAATGCCCTCCTTTTCTTCTTTCCCTCCATCCCACCCTACTTCTTTCTATCCCACAGGCCCATTTCCACTCTCCACTCAGAAAGCTATGTAACAGTTTTCCTTCAAAGACAACCCAGTGGGTCCCTATTTTACTGTTGTTGCTGTTGTTTCATATATTTCTTGTCCATCTTCTTTTCTTTAGTAGTTTTATTTTTAAATAAACTTGGATTTGTAAAAGGGTACAGATAGTTAACGCATACTTTTCACCCAGCTTCCCCTAATGTTAATATCTTATAACCTCGATAAATTTAGCTGAACTAAGAAACTAACAGTACTATTAACTAAGCTGCAAGTTTTATTGACATTTCCCTAGTTTGTTCACTAATGGCCATTATTTTAGCACCCCTGCCAGGACACCATGTCTCCCTAGTCTCCAGCCTGTGACAGTTTCTCCATCTTTACTGATGGATGATGAATTCTTTCATCTTGGCTCCTCTATCCTTTTGAAATGTTCTTCTCTCTCTCTCTGTCTCTCTCTCTCTCCCCCACCCCCATTCCCCCCTCTCTTTTTCCCTTCCCTACTTTCTGGCATTCTGGAACTATCAGAAGCTCCAGATTCAATATGTCTTTCCTCTGCTCCAGCCCTGGAGTCAAACATTTCTCCAGTGAGTCCTGGTTCCTTTTATTGGAGAATGATATTTAAATACCAAGATCTGAGTGCCGAATGTGGTTTGTTACTGGAGGCGTTTTCAGGAGACAGAGTAGAAAATGAACACGTGCATACTAAGCCATGTATACACACACCTCCCTTTGTTTCTTTACCTCTCCATCTTTGTATATATTAAGATATACCTGAGTTGATACCGATGTCTCAGACTCTAATCTAGCCCCACAGAGTTCATTCACAGATTTGTGCTTAATTTTGCTTTTTTATGATGGAGGATGGGGAGCAGAGCAGTTAGGCCTGGATTTCAGCTTCACTTCTGCTGAGTGCTGCGGCTCATTTGTGAGAAAGGAATCTTTTGACCTGACTGTGGCAGACACATTCTGGGGGAAGGTTGTGGGTCCTCAGTGCTGCTGAGCAGGCCTCCCAAGCTCTGAGGGCACCGTACCATTGCAGGTGGAAAGTGCCTTTCCTCTGACAGGATGTGCCTGAGTACTTCCTCCAAGGCTTGTTTCACATAATGTTAAGAGTTGTCACTTAAGTGACCATCTGTACCACAGAGCTGGGTAAGCTTTTCCTGTGAAGTCCTAGACAGTAAATGTTTGAGACTTTTCAGGCCGTGAGGTCTCTGGTTGCAAGTACTTAGCTCTGCCTTTGTTCCGTGGAAGCAGTCATAGACGGTACACAAATGAATAAGCATGGATAGGTTTCAGTAAAGCTTTATTTACAAAATCCAGGGGGCTGCATCTGGGTTGGCCAAGCCCTGGACCCATTAAATGCCTTCTCCTCCTTTCATCTTTGTCGCATTCTCACTGCCTTTGTGGACTGGATATGTTACATTTGTGCCCTTGGGAAGAGAGTTGGGTTGGTGGAGAAGTGCTGCCCGAGCACGTGCATCATAAACACGGTTGGCTGACGGCATTAGTGTGGCCGCGTGTCCTGTCCCACAAGCCCTCCATCTCTTCCTTCCCACTGGTAGATTTTGCAGCTCTCTGTGCCTATGGTAGGAGAGCAGGGGTGGCTCTGGGACAGTCTTCTGACTTCATGTGCATTTACCCGCCAGCACTTATCTCCTGACCCTCTTGGCGCGTGGCCGTGTTACGTCACTAGTTTCTGTCTGTCTGGAACCGCTCCTGCTCCATTGGTGGTGCTGGTCTGGTGAACCCGGAGCAGTGAAATGGTTCATTCACTCGAGTGTTCAGCACTCATTGACCAGGCCCCTGCCCCCTGCTGAGCCTATGCCTTGCAACTAAAATGTCAGGATCAGAGAAAAAACAGTCCGTTTACTACCCTCATGGGGCATGTGATCCTGAGGGTGAGACAGGCAATGGTTTTGAAATATGTAGAGTATGCATAATTGCAGCTGTGGTCATTGCTGGGAATTACAGGTAAATGATGCTGTGATTGAGGGAGTTAATCTAGGCACGGAGAGTTTTTAAGGCATTC